CACTGCTGTGACGTTGCCTACTGTATATATGAATGGGTTTAGGTCTGCTCATCCCAGATATGTTGTATAGCTGAGTGTCTTTTGTTGTACAAACCCTGTCTAATGCACCAAAGGGACGGACAATGGAGTGAGCAGAGAGGGTCTTAACTACAGATTCACATTACTTTTGGGAGGTCATTCCTTACAGAAACATTCATGTATAGAGTATGTCTTTTAACCTTGCCTTTTATAGAATTAATGATACAGGCTTTTTTAAATAGAAAATCGCAAAACTAGACAAAAGCAAGGAGGAAGAGATGAGGAAAAGATGACGATGGAGAAGGACAGAGCGGATAAGAGAGAAATAGAGAGAGGGAGAGTCTATGGGGACAAACAATACCCAGTGATGGTGTATATTGTCTCTGTTGTCAGTGAGCATGGCAGTTTGATGCATCGCACTGCTGGACCAAAGACAATTCTGCGAATGCGGACAGCCTAGCGTATCTGCATATCGATTACTTGTGGCTGCCATAAATACGGTTTAATGGAACTGTCAGTGTGCCATCGCATATTAACTGAAGCTGGAGCTGAGCTGCAGCTGGATGCTGCTGCCAAACAATACTGGCCACATCTGGATCCAGGTTGAAAACAGCAGCGGGGGAAGCAGGTGGTCTTATAAACCTGTACTGACTTGAACATGACCAACGCGTGTTTGAGAAAGATATAACATTTTAATCTCATTAACTTCACTGTATGTTTACATCATAATAAAGTCTATATCCATGTCTGCCTAACATGTCATCACATCATGTTTTGGTATTAAACATCTTTGTGAAAATGTCATTAGCAATAGCAACACATCAATTCTTGAGTTATTCGCAAAAGTCTTTTGAGAGCCTTAAACTGCATTCACATGACACGCGATTTGCTCACCGCGAGGTTGGGCGCAGAGCCTTACGGTGAAAACAGCTAGGTATGTTCAGTTTGTGTGGTTACCTCCTCTGGTAGCTTGTGCCGCAACATACAGCTGTTATCTGATTTGTTGAGCTTTGAAAGGTCAGCGTTAAGAGAGGTCAAAGATGCGCAATGCCCAGGTCTTCCGTCTTAGCAATGCCAGCGCAGAGCCTCTTAACCATTTGTCTTGTGAGTGCAGCTTTACTGATCTTGACCATTTGACCACCTTATCAGTTCATCCAAGAGTCAGTGGACGTTGGTGACGGATTTGAAGTTCCCTTCAGGCGTTCCTGAGATATGGTGGTTACAATAACGACCGTATGGATTGACGTACGTACTTTGGATAACCTGATAAGGAAACGCCTTCAGGCTTCGCTGACGCCGGCGCGGTGTGAGGTAAGAAATGGGATTCAGATTTACTCTATCTTTCTTTTCTCCTTCCAGCCATTTGCTATTTGAGCTTTCGTTCCTTCTGTCCATCCTAAAAGAAGCACCCCAGGGTCTTTCAAGGCTCCAATTAATTCAGAGAGCCATAAATTCTGAAACTCAGAATGACAGGGTGCAGGGCTGGGATCACGAGGGGAGGGTCACAACATGTGGCGGGATGCTGTTTCATTAAAAACAAATCTAAAATGTTCTCTTTACATCTTCAAGTTATAGTTAAAACCATAGTTAAAGCATGAAGGCAGTTTGGACCCGACTGCCAATACCTCTAAATTGTATTAATTTCTATGTTATAACTTGTCTGTTTTATTAGTACACAAAGCCAAATCTGCAAATTATAAGGGATAGTTAAATAAAAGAATATGGGGAGATAAATCACTGTTAGGACTAAAACATTTATGGCTTACAACTTCCAAAAAAACATTTATGTTTGAGTTAGAAAACAAATACAGTATGCACATTTTCCCAAAGGTGTAGTGGTTGTAGTAGTTTCTGATATTTAACTGTGAAGCTTTGTAGGCTATTGTTTAGATTGAGAGTGATAAGAGTGACACAAATAATCTTGCTTTGACAATTCTAAATGGAATATAAACGAGACAAATCCTTGCCCATGTAGTGCTGATTAAAGTACTGTTTGGAGTCAGTAGTAAGAACAAGGATAAAGTTAACTAAGCGTGAAATATAAATCCAATGTGTAGAGTGGAAAAGCTCTATTAGGGGTGCTGGTTGTACTGATGTGTGTGTGTGTGTGTGTGTGTGTGTGTGTGTGTGTGTGTGTGTGTGTGTGTGTGTGTGTGTGTGTGTGTGTGTGTATGTGTGTGTGTGTGTGTGTGTGTGTGTGTGTGTGTGTGTGTGTGTGTGTGTGTGTGTGTGTGTGTGTGTGTGTGTGTGTGTGTGTGGAAGTAGCAGAACAAGAAGCCTGAGGGATTAGCAGGAGAGCGAAGCTTCTTCAAATTGTTCTCAAATTAATACAGCAGATAAGGGATAAAAATAAAGTCGCTGCTCTTCCAGAAATTAACTCTCAGTGGATGAGTCTGACTTAATACAGCCTCTTTAACACACAGAATATTAATTCAGACGCACTCGGCTGCTCACACAAAAAACTCTTAAAATTATACAAACCCTATTAAAATGCATACATGGGCACACTGGCCTGACATGTAAAAGCAGCCAAAAGAAGAGACGGATAAACTATACATATACTATTCCGACATTTGAGGTTTTTGAAGGTAATATCCCTAAACAGGTTTTCTGAAGAACAACACCAATAACAAAGCCTGTTGGCATCAGTTATAATCAAACAAATGTATTTCATTTTCTAATCTAATAAGGAGAGGCTATGGCGCAGTGGAGTAGTGCGTTGGTGTTCGGATCAGTGGAGCACAGGTTCAAACCCCACTGCAGTCAGCATGTCGTTGTGTCCCTGGGCAAGACACTTCACCCCAAATTGCTCCTGTGGGGATTGTATGTAAGTCGCTTTGGATAAAAGCGTCTAACATGTAATCAGTATGGTAAAGAAATGACACTTCTTTAACTATTACCATAACTATACTAATGATTATACATTTTCAGAAAGATGTGGGTGCCATTTTACTAACACCCTGTTCCAGGTAATAAAACACACCCTCTGGCAAGGATACCTTTCACATAAGTTAAAGTACCAATAACACAATGTAAAAGTAGAACAATGTGCACATTTGCTAAATGTACTTATAGGATCAACGGTAAAACTATTATCTTCAGACAAGTTGGCCTCGGAGTTATGGATGTGCTTCAGTAAAATATGAATGGGGGGGAATTGTGGCTCATTTCTATAGCTGGGAAACAAAATAGGAATATTGACTGAACAAAAACTATTTTAATTTAATATAGCCTTTAAATAATTAAACCAGGTGTTTAAGTATACATTTAATGCATGTGTATTAGTTCCAAGTATAGGAGTACTCATTCCTAGTTAGTCGTGTACTACGTATCTCTTACAGACCAACCTGTTCTCTACCTGCTCCTGCACTGAAGGCTACTTTCAATAAAGCTTCTCGATGAAGGTCAATGCAAAACATAATCAAGAGTCTCTTTTCTCTTTAACAGTATGCGTCAACTAGTCAACTAACGAAAAGCCTGAGAAACCAAAGCAGTCCTCTGACAGGCTGGCTCAGGGTCTCGCCTGTACTGTAAATCGCCAGGGTCTCGCCTGTAAATCACAGCCATCAGATCTGCTCCATTCAGCACACTGATGCTCTGCTGCTGTTGGCTGCTAATTCAGCTGCAACCACATTACTCTCCTCCTTAATAAGGTTTACGTGTGCGTCTGCCTTACTAACCCTCTCCCCCTCCTACACACACACACGCACACATATACACTCAGGCACACAGGCACTAATGGAGCCTGTGTGATTCATGTAATGCCTTGCAATGTGTGTGCATTTGTAATTTTCTGTTGCATTCTGTAGGTTTTTGGTGTTAAAAAGTAGTGCTGTGTGTGTTTACATACATGCTTGGTTAAGTCTACCATTGTATGTCTGCTTAAAATTCAGAGTAAGTTGAGAACGTGATGGACAATTTTGTGTGTGGTATAATTTCTATAGTTATGTACTTGACTTACAAAATACTTGTGTGTTCGTACCTATAATATTTACATGTATCGTGTTAGTAAATATAGGTTGTACAGTAAATGTGTGTACAGTATAGGTTACTGCTCTTCGCTGCGTTGCTGTGTAAAAAATAAGAGGAGGGGCCATTGTCACTAGGAGCCTTTTTAAAAAGCTAATTGGCATCGCCAGTAAAGGTCAGGAGTCCCAGCAGGATGCAGACTCCACATTCTACTTTAACCTTTTTAAGTCCGAACACGTTTTGTTAACCAAGCTCTAGCTTCTCTATAAGTTACAACATAAAATATACATTAACTATAGTTTTTATTTTACTTGTTTTGTTTATGTCAAGTGAAGGTAGGTTTTTGAACTGCGGAAAGGCTTTGAATCTATATTGGGCTGCGTGATGAGACAAACGCATTTAAGCTCCATAATGCACCTAGGTCCAGGCAATGAGGGTCAATGAGTTCAGAGACGGCCTGCTCTTTGTTTTCTTTTATCCATGGGTCCTTTGCGCTGATCTTGTCTCTCTTATCCATATTCTCCGTGATAAATGTTTTATGAAGTTTTGCTGTTCACAAGCAACCTCACTTACAGAGTCACGCAGGTCAAATGCAGAAAACTGATTTATATAGATATGGCTAATTTGCCTGTTTGAAGGTCACATTGACGTTGTCCTGATAAGACATCTAGAATCATAGATGAGCAGAACTGGACCAACAGCGCTTAAATTATACAACTGAATGAAGCATTTTCTGAAAATACCAATTTAAAATGTGTTTTGGTACTCTTAAGACTTCATGAAGCAACAAATGCAATCAATATTCTAAATGTTATATTTCCTGCTGTTTCCAGTTTTTTAAACTGTTAAAATATTTCATGCTTTGAAGAAAGAAAAAAGCCTTTGTCTTTATGTCAAGCATTGTGTATAAAAACCGGTATAAATATGAATGTCTTACAGTGAATCCATGGAAGGAAACTAAGGAACCCCAAAAACCCACCAAGAGTTATATCATAACTACAGATACTACAATATTATATCAAACAATATTTATTTTCAAAAATAAAATTGCATTAATCATAACTTTCATTTGTTTTAACTTGTTAACTAATTCCAGAACAGCGATATTAATATTATAACAGGGAAATTAACAATTGAACACATTACAGACATCTCGATGGCTTCTGAGAAACTCAAACAAAGAAAGCATTATTTTAAAGACAAAAAGCATTTGCAGCTCTATTCACATGTAAAAAATAACAGCCATCTATTTCTTTTATTTATCAAGTCAAGCCTTAACTGTACCTACTGTACCTACTGTACAATGAAACAGATAGAACTGTATCTCTTAAAATGAACTTGTAAAATAGCCTTCAACGCTTTATATACAAGTCACTAAGTAACTCAACTGCTTGCTGACAAAATTATTACCAAAATGGATTCACAAATCTTTCAGGAATTTAAGGAATAAATGTTCCTTCCTTTGTGTTTTGACTCATTCAGACAGGGGTGTACGACCAAACACAGGGAACAGGATGTTTCGCAGGCTGAATGGAGAGACTGGACCTAGACAAACAGAATACAAAACATAATTAATATCAATATATAAGACACAACTATTACTTTAAAGATCTCCTATCATGCTATTTTTAGGCATATATCAGATATATACAAATATATAAAAACATATCTATGATGTGTTTTGCTCAAAATACCAAACAGATCATGCATTTTAGACATCCCTCATATCCCTCTATTTCAGCCCTGTTAGAGAATGGCTGATTCTCTGCTGGCCCCGCCCCCTTTTGAGCACCAGGCACACAGAGTTCTGTGACGAGCAGGCTGTCTGCTCAGATGCAGCTAAATGCTGCCGTGATGAAACGCCATATCATGTTCCAAACCACTTCAAGGATTATTTCTGAAACAGTATGGAGCTCAAATGCTTCTTTTCTTGCGGGTTTTCTACAAGGTGAGTTCCTTTTGTTATTTCCTGCTTTTTTTACACATGCTCTCTCCAGTACAGGTTAGCTCTGAGTGTTAGCGATGCTTGCCAATGTAAACAAAGACCATATTACGTCCAAAACAGTCGGGCATTGTTTCTGATAGCAACGTTTCTGATAGCAACATTTCTGATAGGGCTGTGGGTGTGAAGCCAGCCCACATTTCTGATATTACATCATATCGGACGCAAATCTGGATCAGCTCCGTTGTACCCCCGTTTTTAGAGATATGGGTACGGAGGAAAAGAGACTGTGAGTTCCCGGACACACCGGGGACACATATTTATGTATAAAAGACATCAAAAAGTGCATTTTGCATGATAGGTCCCCTTTAAATCATATGAAAGATAAGATTCTCTGCTCCTCTCAAGATTTCTCCATAATTACAATTGATAAATATAAACCCTCTTCAGAGTTGTGGTTAACACTTTGTAATCTCTAAGGAGCAGAACAACAACAATCGGAGTACTGGCCCTTTAGTAAGCAACAGATATGCTGAGCAGACAAATCTCATCTGAAGTTAATCAACAGATACAAGAGAATCACTGTGCCGATGGTGCATTTGCGAGGAATTTAGTCCATTTTATTAATTTGAGTCAAATTTCTGCAACATCAGGTTTCTTGTGGAAGCCAGCATATAATTCTCAGGGCATTGTGAGAAACTTGATACAGAGAAGAGGACAAATTTCTACCGACATGGAATATCATAAACAGATAGTCAAATTGTGCTGACTGCATGTAGTCTCACACTTTCTGAGAAAACACACTCACAAAAAAAAAAATCACATTATCTTTTCTGTCGTGTAATTCTGGTTTCTATCTTGTGTTTTTATCTGTACTAGTGCAGCTGTGTAAAGCACAATGTAACGCTTAACTTCACAAAAGCGATGTGTAGATAAATCAGCTTTGACCCACTTTGTTTTGCTTTTTCCATTAACACTGTGCAAGCAGAGGCATGGTGGAGCGGCAGTGTATCGATATCAGGACAAACGCAATGCAATGAAAGCAGCTTGTTGGGTCAAATAGCTCTGGTAACAGATCTAATTGAATCCGTTTCAGGTTCTCAGTGCAGGTACATCCACCACAGCAAGCAGCAGGGAGGAAATCAATACGTCCTCTCTGCAGCCATGGACACAGTCTAATTTCATTGAAGGCTTCTCTCTCTGCCCACATGTGCAGGTTGATGAAGGTCCTTTTATAATCCTATTAGAAAAGGAGAGCGTGTATGGAACACAGAGGAGAAGCCTTTGTGTGTACAGTAGGAGTTTTTTCACAAGGCTGTTTTTAACTATTTTGATCCAATGTTAACTATTGATTGAACATGATCAAAACGTAATGTCATGACGTGTAATAATCATAATTTTACAATGCAACAAAGCAGTTTGCTTTATTTAACCCTCCATTGTTTATTTTTCTAATCTATGGTTTCTCTAAGAGATAGAACTCACAAAGTGGTGCATATTTGTTTTTATAATGTGGTGTGAAAACTACCTTAGCGTCACACTATTTCAAATGTTTTTATCTCCAAAAAAATAAAAATGCAAAAATATTTATACGTATGAATCACTTTAGCATGTTTAACTGTGGACATTGGGTACTTCTCTAAAAAAACGTAAATGGTATGCATTTATAAGTACCCTGAGGGTGGTGATTGATTTGGTACAGGTCAGGGATGTGGAGGCTCAGGGTCCTGAGGGAGGGAGGGGGTCGGACCAGGGTTGGTGTAGGAGTCATGCTCGGCATCTGAGAAGAGAGTATAGGTTCTTTAATGGACAATATAAACATCACTTATTATTCTGTTTTGAAAGTACTCTACAAAAAACATAAATCAATAGTTATTTAGTTTAAATTAAAACAACCGATGTGTTCTCACTTGAAGGTCAGCTTTACAGTGAGCTGGGGTCTTCTGGGTCAGGATCAAATCTGGAGGAGTGAGGGAGCTGGGGGGGGGACAGGTGGGGTCGGGGGGAGGCGATTTGTTGCTTAGGGACGAGCCACTGTAGCTGACGGTTTGATCAATCAGCAGAGCGCTGAACGGGTTGGTGTCCATACCCTGAGCAAGACACAACAATAAACAAGACCTTAGTGGAGTTCATTCTAATGGTTTTTGTGTGAAGAATCAGTTCTGTCCACGTAAAAACTTACAGCACGGTTTGCCATTATCTAATTTATTCCATAAATGTTTGTTTTTATTAGGAGCTTGCAGTGTAAAAAAGCAGTTTGAACCAGGAATTTAAAAAACAATAACTTGACTTTTGTTTTATAACTCAGTCAAAACTCAAAGCTCCAATTACTAAAATGGTAATTTACTGTACGAATAAACATGTTTGTTTGTTTGTTTGTGTACATTCACTTAGAAAACAAACTAAGATGATGGTGAAATGTCCTACAGAAACAGAGAGCATCTGTGTTCTAATAAGACATGGAAGAAGGCAGAGGTGCTGCGAATGTAAACAAAGTACCTGGCCATGGGGGCGGACCTCCTTGTGCTCAATCAACTCCAGGTCGGGCATCTCTCCATCTTCAGCCAAGAGACTTCCTGTTACCTTCAGATTCATATTTAATTAGAAATGTAACTTTACGGTGGTCTTTAGTTGTTCCTAATTAAATGATGTGACAGTGGAATTCATTCAGCTGGTGGCAGTAAATATTTTAACATAGAAGTTGATTTGTTGATTCATAGCTTTATGGCAATGGTAACTCAGATATTGTTTCAACAATTGCAGGGTTTTTCTGAAATGGCTGCCTCTTTTACAAGCAGAGGAAATATTACTCAGAACATTTTTTATAAACTTTTACCCTTCAGGGATTATAGGCAATATTTAACAATGCAAAGGTTACCTTTTTAATTAACAGATTATATTTTTGAAATCGTTCTCGATTGTAGACGATTTGAGAGGAATAATGTTTAAGAGCCCATAGGCTCATAAAACAGTGTGAAAAGTTTAAAAAAATGCATCATCTGGACACACATTATGTGCTTTATGTTTGATATTCACCAGCTAATATCCAATTTAAATATTAGCCACATGTTGATCATTTCTGACAATGCAGGATTATTCTAGAGAGGAGCAAAGGAACTCACTGTTTTTGTATCCTTAGTGATATCTACTTGCAGAAGTAATTATTTAGTTTACTGTCTCCAAAGAGTAACTCTATATATCGCAAATAAGACAGCTAGGAAAGCAATACTTACTATCTGCTTCCAGTTGTGGTGCTATTCTACGATAAAACCCTCCCAAAATTATACAAACAAAAGCAAATTTGAAAAACTTTTTTTTTGTTTTTGTTTTGTGCCACCATTGTTTAGTTTGGTTACAACTGTGCATCAAAAAGTATACATTTTTATTTCATAATTTTACCCCCATTCAATATGCAAATAAATGGAGCAATAATCGGTCACAGACATTAACATGTCCTTTCCTCTGTGTTCAGTGTAACAACCATAAGAGCGACACAATCTAGTAAGCCAATATCCATTAAACTGCCCACTGATTGGCTGTCATGTATTTATTGGCCAACAACATGCTGTGACCTTCTAAACAGTGGCTCTATACATTAAGCATTGGATAGAAATCCCTCCCGTGTGTGTGTGTGTGTGTGTGTGTGTGTGTGTGTGTGTGTGTGTGTGTGTGTGTGTGTGTGTGTGTGTTGCAGTGGGCCTGCAGCAGTGACAGTATGGCTGGTAAGATAAGAGCTATGGACAGTGGAGAATAAAGGCTTTCCAGCAACATTGAAAGATTGGGGCGAGAAAGAGGAAGTGAGAGAGGGAGGCCGAGAAGAGACAAAGAGAGTACACTCATTGATTAGAAACAATTGAGACATGAAACTGCAAATCCACCACAAATGTCTAAGTAACCCGGTACTAAGACCTCTGAGTTTTGTTTTGCCGTGCTAAAACCTCAAATATTTGTTCAAACAGCAGAAGCTAGCTTTGTGTGTATGTGTCTGTGTGTCTGAAGTACCTTCACTGATGCCGTCATGGACTCTTCTGTTGGAGACTTTGGGGATAAAGTGACCATCTCTTCTTCTACCTCTGGAAGGTCTACCATTCCCATTCCCATTCCCAGGTACAGACTCACTGGCTGGATCTGGTCACACAGCTAAGAGAAGTACAGTCATATTTATATTAAGTTATAAAAGGGCTGTACAGTGGCCTAGCAATGGAACTGGTCTTAACTTATAGCAAGTTATGTTTGAAATAAGCGATCCGATCATACTGTAAAAAGCACCACCTGCTGACAAACCAGAGCTCAGTATGCCGAATTTAAGGGCTATAAAGTTAAACTCAAGGCTAAAGGAAAAACAGTTTAAACTGCCCAATGCTGGCAATAATCGCCGACTTGTATATGTGCAAATTGATAACATTTTTCTCATACTATGTTCACAGAAGCATATCTCTGTAATCAGACTGACCCATAATTAGGAATGAAATCATAAGTAAGCCGAATCAAAGGCGTTAATGATGCCAGCTATATCACTTACCAGGTAAATAACTAATACCCTGATTTAGTACTGCGGGTTGACTGTAGACGACAAAGACGCTGTGTTTGACATACAGTAAACGACACCTGCCAACCAATCAACAGCTGGTTTGTCATGGTAGAAATAAGTGTGTGTGTGTGTGTGTGTGTGTGTGTGTGTGTGTGTGTGTGTGTGTGTGTGTGTGTGTGTGTGTGTGTGTGTGTGTGTGTGTGTGTGTGTGTGTGTGTGTGTGTGTGTGTGTGTGTGTGTGTGTCTTACTGCTGCACTCGCTGTAGGGCTGCAGGACATCCCGTGGCTCTGGCTCAGCAGGACAGAGTGGATATAGACGTCGTTATCAGTGTGTGTGTCACACAGGTAGAGCTGAAGCACATCTCCACTGTAACCATCCAGAGCGCCCACCAGGGAGCGATCAGAGAACAGCTTCTGGAAGGCAGCCCTGGCCTCAGCAGTCCAGCTGCCCTGCAACAAACAGACCACAACAATCTTATTCATAAAACTCAACTGCAACTAAACACTCTGCAACATCTGCAGCTTGATAGCTTGAAGAAGATGGTGCTCAGATTTGCCCACTGTCAATTGAATGAATATTAGACTCACAGCGGTGGGTTTAATTCCAGCGAGTGATGACGGGACAGCTTGTGCTGGAAGATTTGAATAACATGACCTGAGGAAACAGAAATGAACAGTACAACAAAACGCATGAAACTATCAGTTCAGTAGTAGTACTTGTTGGATCGTTTAACCGCTTAAATGTATTTAAAATGCCCCTACTTGAGGAACTTGAGGCTGGCGCTCTGTACCACGATCATATCGCCAAAGTCGATAGAGTACACCTCAACCTGAGTGGGGCTGATGATCTGATGGATCACCACTCTGTAGAACCACATTCCTTTAGGCGACATGCAGCAGACTTGACCCCTTCGTACAAATCGTCCAGGGAGGTGGTAACGCATCGACACCTCAGGGCAGGTGTAACATCGTCTAAAGGCGAGGGAGGAAGAAAGAGAAAAAATATGAATTACTGGATGTCATTGCTTATAGAAACAGCTTTAGGAAGTAAGTACGCTTATGGAGAGTATTGTTTAAGGAGTGTCAGATACATTTTGTAATGTAGTTCAGTTTCTAACTTTAATTCTGTCAGTGTTTGGATTCTTGCTGCTTTTTTAGACAATTCAAAATGGCCCTCATATTGGGACAGATGCAGGGAGTGTTATTACATTATCCTTTGACTAAGCTGCCACTAACATATCCTTCACCTCATCTCAATCATCATGTCCTCCATAGCTTGGGCCTCCTCGTTCTCGCTGAAGCGGATGTAGAAATGTCCAGGGGAGTCCGCCTGCTCCACCAGGACCTCCACCAGCTCCCTGTCTCGATGGCGTGTCGGAGGTTTGAGGCGTTGACTCTGCAGAGCGTCCAGGGGCACTGCAGGGTTGCTGTGGACCTGAATAGCAGGGTACATCTGAGACATCTACAGGAGGACGCATACAAAACAACGATTGTTATTTTTCTACATCAATTTAAATAAGTGAACTAACTAGATCCAACTAATTTGTTGCTTGTTCAAAATAAATCAAATAAATCTGAAGCTCTCAAATCTAACCGAGTGAGAACAGCTTTTAGAGTTATCTTACCTGCATATATGGATAAAATCAACTTTTTACAAATGGCATGCTAATTCATGATTTGCACTGGAATCACACCATTTGATGCCCTTATTAATGTCAAGACAGGGTGCTAGTTCACTTACTTTTATTATGCCGTTTCTTATTTTCACAATTGTTTCTACTTATTTATTTACAAAATGTGTTTTCCTTTTTTTGTTGAAAATGTTCGCCTACTTACTTTTATTGTTGTCTTTCACCCGCATTGTCTCTTTACTGTAAATTTCCCTCGTTGGACGAAAGACTGATTTCTGATTCTGACTATGTGACAAAATCTTTATTTATATGTCTCTCTTAAAGAGGGTTCTTAAAAGACTAGTTATGTACAAAAGATGATTCCTCACCATTGTGATGCTCTTCAAAGTGGTATTGGTCTCTACTAGATCCTCTTTCTCCTCGTCTGCTGTGGATTTCTCATCGTCTTCTTCCAGTCGGCCTTCCCAAGGAGACTCTCCACAGCTGAAATAGTAGCTCTTAACTGGCAACTTCCAACTGTTCATTAAAGTCACTTTTGAGTCTACTGTATAAAAGAAAAAAGTCCAGGTTAGTTACCTCCATACCTTACATTTAAATGTGATACATTGACACTGATAGCACTTACAGCAGCAAGTGTAAACAACAAATTCATTGTTCATGTTGACTTTTTTCCCAGCCTGCCTGATTTAACACCTAATGAAGTAATAGGGGATATATTGATTTCTGACTCCTGAACATACACACCTGATTGTGTATCATCACAGTCCTGTATGTCCATGACTATCCAGTGCACATTGTTGCCCACTACAGGTTTCAGGTGGAAGGTGTCACTCATGGCACTGACCAGTTCTGTGACACTGACAAAGCCGGTCTGAAGCAGTGGAAAGTCCTCCCCAAAAAGCCTCTGAGGAGCAAAACACATCATTTAATATAATCTGAACTGAAGAAGAAGAAGTTAGCTTTTTCCCTGATCCTTAATCACTTTTACTGGTTAGGCTAAATGTGAGCAGTAAGATGCTCAATAAAAGTGGAGCCAATACTCTTAGGACTCAATCCACTTCCTCAAATGAACATGTTCTTATGCTCCAAACTCCACGGTTTATTAGTCTTAAACACTCACTAACAAAATGAAAGTGAACAGGACAAGTGCAGGACTATGTCTCTTTACCTTGTACTCAGCAGGCAGATCGTGCACAGATAATCCACCATTGCTCTGACCTACAACCTGTAAAGAGTTACAAAACTTGTTACAGAGATTGAGGTTTCATTCTGTACCATGACTTGCAGAGAAAGCAAAGCATGATAGAGGATAAAATCACAAAGACATCTGCTTTTAAACTAGCAGGAAGTGGGACCTTTCGTAGCTTGTCCTTCAGATCCTGACTGATGGAGCCAGCGACTCCATTCTCCAGTATTTGCAGGCGAAGCTCCTCCTCCAGCTGAAGTAAATAGAGTAAGTGAGTAGAAAGACAAAGATAATTGTCTTGCTCCAAGCAACAAGTTGCAGGTTCTTTCATTTCTCACCTTGAGGACACGTTTCTGAAAGAGCTGACCTTCCTGACAGAGCTCTGGGTCCCCTTCATGGTTTTTCTCTACCACCTGTGGCATGTTACTGACATTCGTTGACTCTTTTTGAACAGGGCAAAAGGTATTCTCATAGGTGCGCTGATTCGGGGGACTCTGCTTCACTTGGACTTTAGCTGGAGTAAACCAAATAGGTTTTTTATTATAATTTAAAAAAACATAAACTGATGCGAAAGAAAATAAACAAGGCTGAGAAATATGAGCAGGCCTTGCCGAGAACACTTGCAATGGATTGTTTTCAGGGACAGAATCTGGAAAGATGTTCAAAATGTGAAAATGACTCACCTTGGGGTATTGTTTGTGTCGGAGCTCTGGTATCTTGCCCTTTGGAGGTTGGCTTGTCATTACTAGGGGATACTGACTTAATGAATCCAGTCCTCTTAGGGGTGCTAAATGGTTTGAGCAGTGACTTTGGCACCATATGTTCCCTCAGGGTCAGTACTGAGCCCAACCTGCCCTGCTCGATAAGGAGCAGGTCTGCCAATCCCTCCAGCATCTCTCCAGTGGAGAAGAAGCCGTAGTTGTGGACAGGCAGTGGCTGGCCGAAGCAGCGCAGGTAGCTAGACTCCAGGTCGGACAACCTGAGGGGACCCTGGGAGAGCAGCCACATCAAAACCATTAAATATTTAGCAGTATCAAAACTACATGACTTTGTTTTATTATAAACTACTGACTGTAGAAACCAAACAGACCAGTAAGTCAACTTATCTGATGTGTCTCTCTTAGAATTATTTGTAAACAATTTAGCTATCATTAGGCCATAAAAGCAAAATTCCACAGAAGCCTTCGTATCTTACCTGGCTGAGCAGGATGCGTAGCTGAGCCCTCAGCTGGGCAGGGACAGCCGGAGGAGCACGGCCTCTTCTGGGAAGAGCCACAGGGACGTACTTGTAACAGTACCGGGGGGAGAAGTAGCTGACCCTTCCCCTCTTGAACTTCATGTCATTCTTTGATGTGCGCTGCTTAGCTACCAGCTCCTGGATGCTTCGGGTTGAATCGTTGCCTATAGCTGCAGATGCCAAATGTTTGAGAGGATTTATTTATCAAACACTTGTATGTTGTATTTATTCTCCCCCCTCATTGTGGAATTGAAAATAATATACAAAATAGATTAATGCATACGCAAAAGGACTATACCTTGCAAAAGAATGCTGCCATCTACCCTGAAGTTAACCGACACAACGTCAGGCATGTCCTTCACCATGTCCATGATGTTTCTGAAGCCCAGTTGTTTTAAGGGCATGGGATGCCCCAACATGGTCACATAGTCTCGCTTTAGCCGATCAGCCTCTAAGCCCAACTTAGACGAAATAAGCAAGGAACGAATGTCCTTCTTCAGTTTTGCCAAAACTTCTTCCTGGTTCATCTTGATGATATCTGCAGGACACAGCAAGAGGATACATGAAACAAAACATAATGGACAGCAGGGGGTTGACCACCACCCAAAAAGAAATGTAGAGTGCACAATTCTGAAAAAAATAGAAATGCTGCAGTATTCATTTCAGCAAGAACATATATTGAGTTGCACTTAGATTTCTATATTTGAAAAACCGTAGGCTAAACATGTCAAGAGAAGACGGCAGTTGAGATGATGGTGTCAATTGAACAGATTAGTTTCGGCCATTTTTAATTGTGACCATACATTTGTACAGTAGCATGCACATTCAAACTGTCATTATATTGCCAAAAAAACGTATAAAGGTAACGTTAATACACATGCAGCATTACCACGGGTAACATTTAGCTAGTTAAGCTACATTTGCATTACACAGAAATATCACAATCGATTCCGCTTCAGACGTTAAATTAGCAAACATGAACGTTAGCCACCAACCGGCAGAACAGAAACCCTCTGAAGGTCCAGCATGGAGTTAAGTTAATGTGAATTAATTAACAAAGTCTTAAGACATGTGCCACAACAGCCCTGTCTTGTTCAAATTGTCCCAAAATGTTCGTGCTATGCACAGTTGCAACTTTACCTCGAGTTTTCAATACCTAAGCATCCTCCCACGACAACTTGAGCTTTGGTTCCTGACCTCCACACCTGTTGCTAACACTCGTCTGACACGACGCTGAAGTTGGCTTCCGATTCAGAGCTTCCGATTCGGCAGTTAAGGGGAAAGTTAAGGGACATTTAATTTACAGCGCTGAGCGAACAATCCTCCGTGTTTGTACCTCTTAAATCGCTGCATAGCCGATTTATTTGGACTAGATTATCCCAGAGAGTCTAAAGATTCTTTATAACACAGTTTTAGATTTGTGAAACCTTTATTCTATTTGTGAAAATACAAAAAAAGGGAGATTTCAGTGCTTTTTTCGCATTTAGACCACATTAGACCAGGTCCTAACTAAAACCACTAAAACTAGACTCATCAAATCCGGACTGGATTATCCCACAGAGGCTAAACATTCTTTATAACACCGTTTTAGATTTGTGAAACCTTAATTCTATTTGTGAAAATACAAAAAAGGGAGATTTCAGTGCTTTTCTGACTTTTTTGACTGCTGGGTCAGTTAAGGCTGCAGCAGCTCTGTGGAGTAGCATGAAGCTGCAGCGTCCAGGCCCGCACTCCCAGGACCCTAGTTTTTCGTGACACTGCCACCTAGCGAGCAGGAGACCTGAATATGAACGACAACGCAGAGAGTGTGAGTAATGTGAAGTGCTTTTAAAGTTTTATTTGTTTAACATTAATAACAATTCCGGTGTCTTGAAATGAATTGTGATTAGCTAACATTAACTATGATAGTCTTAAGGCAATACAAACAAACATCTGTTAGTTTATGATAGCTTCTAACAGTATTAAAGGCACTAAAAACAATTATTCGTTAGCTATAGCTTTCGGTAAAAGCATTATTAGCAAAAGCATTAGTTTCGTTAGCATATTTGATTATTTGTTTAATGAAACTGTAGCGTGATTTTGGCAAGCCCAACTAGGTGTCCTACATCAATTGTTGATTTAATCACTAATTACAGTAAGAGTGTGAGTAATGTGAATCATGTTGTTTGTTTAAAGTTAACAACTATTCTGGTGTATTCAATTGGACAGCAATACAAGCAACACGTGCTAAATGTCATCTGTTAGCCTATGATGACTCACTGCAAAACCAACTGTTAGCCTTTTTGTTTATTTGTTTAATGAAACCGTATGTTATGGTTATGTTATTTAGCAGAGGCTTTTATCCAAAGTGACTCACAAAAAACATAAAAGAACCATAATTAACATTAGATTGTCAATACAAATAGTTACATAGTCAGTTACATTACGTATTACATTTTTAACAGGGTAATTAGTCATCTGTAACCTACATTTAAAAAAAGTAAACTTCCCAACCCTGATCATTAATTATAGTCAGCTAATTAATTAAACTTCAAAGGATGACAAAAGCATGTCAATATGATCTGTCTGTCCGCTACATTAAATCAGCAGTAGCCTAATATAAGTTCTGTATTCAGTGTAAATGCTTCTTTAATAGTCATTGTATTACTATTTGAATTCATTGTAAATAATCTTAACTGTGCTGACTGCCTGTTTACTGTTTATCAGACAGTCTCATCATTTTGACATGTTTTGTAATATTGCATGAGGTGTTTTAGTCAGTTATTATGTCGGCCTATTCTGTAGGTTAGAATCTGTCGTGTCAGAATCTAACAATTAGGCCTAATTTATGTCTGTCTGTGAAAGTATTTCAAAATGTTCAGTTTGACCAATTAGGCTCTCTCTTTTTCAAGATGCATATTTCAATCCAAGAGGGGAGATCCTTGCCCGATTTACAGCGATGCACTACATGTTGCAAAGTCTATAAAGTGTCTTTACTTCTGCCTTCTCCTATCCTAGTATTATGAAGTTGATTGACTAAGAGTAAGGTCAGCTAAATTAAGGAAGGTTTTGTTGTTTTTCTGTCTGAATTGTAATTTTCTTATGACATTCTACTTCAGGTGTCGTCAACTGGAATGTCTTCTCAGAGGGACACAAAAGGGAATTTCGGAAGGAATACCAAATTTCCAGGTGCTTTTACTGCGACAACCTTTATAAGGACGTTGGCACAGGCTACCGGGGAAGTGGACGGCGAGTAGTGTTGCAGGGTTTTTACTCAGAAGAGGGCTTCCCGGGGTACTGCAGCTGGAGCTGTTGTCTGGTGGTTGAGGGAACAGCAGACCCCGCCTCACCCCAGTGAAGAATCCACAGTGCCCAATAAATAAAAATGAATTCTGCACTGAAATTCCTCTCGTCAAATTGCATGTTTATCTTTTGCAGCCTGGTGCATAAACACACTAACAGTTGTTTTTGAGTAATCTAGCACCTCTTCAAAGACACATTTGATTTGATTTATTTCGAACGTCTAATACAATAAAAAATATATATATATAATAATGAAATGAAACAAGAGAATTATGATACTGTAGAAACATAAGCAGTATCAAATTGATTCAAAGGAGTTTACACTTATTTAACCCCACCCCTTCTCCCAAAAACTAAATTAACAGTTTTCTTTTAACAAAATATACATCTAAATGTATGTCTACATACAATATACATTTACAATTATAAATAGATTATATCATTATTACTACACTATATATATATATATATGTTTATGTTGTATGTCAAATTTGATAAAGACAAATATAAAAGACTATCTTTTTACATCTGACATACAAAATACATTTGTTATTAAAAATCAAAAACATATTAACAACTTGTTGTTAATAATAATAATGTTATTTCAGTAAGAAAAACATATTTTCATGCATTTTTAGATGGTTAATAACAAGCATTACAATGTCTAAAGAGACTCGCAGTGTATGAGACTCAATACTCGCTGGTTGTACTTTTGCGGTCATCCAATCCGCTAGGTGGCGATGTTGCAAAACAACTAGGGTCCTGAGAGTGCATGCGGTCCTGAGAGTGCACCCTCCTCCGAGGCTGCAGCTTCATACTATTGGAATCGGAAGCTCTGAATCGGAAGCCAACTTCAGCGTCGTGAGGAACTTTCACTCAGCGCTGTAAATTGTCGTCCACTGACCGTACTCTCCCTGACACGTTACCGTGTCATCACTGCGAACACAGATCGTTTATTGCTGGAGAGAGTTTAAAAAATAAACAAGCAGCAGAAACCCTGTGAAGATTATTTTGGTTTCAAACAGACCCCTGTTGTTTTTTTCCTAAAGCATTTTGAACTATTGAAATATTTATATAAGATTTAACATTTCAGAACATTTTGAGCAAACCAAGTTATAATATACAGTGCATATTTCCAACTAGTTATACATATCACATTTAATTAAAAGAAGCCATCACTAGCTAAAATAAGCATCTGCCATTTCTTTCACAATGTCAGAACCTTAGAAAAACATTTTTGGTTATATTTTTTATTCACAGTGGTAAAAAGTGACATTCACTTTAGTTCTGTACTTGGTTGCGGTTTTGATGTTCTAGTGTTTGAGTTTTTTATTTGCTGCTTTGAACTTCTACTGTGCTTTTTCCGATATTAGTTACTTTAAATGTGTACATTTGAGATAATGATGCAAAAAGTGGTCAGTAAATAGCATGTCAAACTGCAAAACAGGGGCTGTTTTTGTATTTCTCTTTAATAACAGAATTGGTTTTGACTCAAGGATATACAGATGAATACGTTGAAGTGTATGTATAGGCCTATTTAAATTATATAATCAGAGGCCCAAGGTACTGGCCCCATTGCCTGGGTTTGCACCAATACGATTTACTACTTTCATCGTAGAACATATGGGCCACATGTCTAATTTTCAGTTTAATTAAGAATCTATCAGGGAGGATACTTGGTGTCTTTTCCTGTAAAAACAGAGAAAAAAACTTCATCAGCTCTTTGGAAAAAGGAGACCTTGAGTGTGCACATTCCAATGTAGACCCATCGTGACTCCCTGTGCTCCACTAACACACTTTGTCCTACAGTCATCTCTGACACTGGCTTTACAAGGGAAGATGCACAACACAGAGATTTAGAAGTATAGGAATTCTAGTACAATCAGTATGCATATTTATATGCAAGAGGGTGATTTTTATATTTCTCTGACAGAATCAAGGGCTCCCAAGCTGTAACAGCTTTGCCTTAAATAATAACTATAAAAACACATCTGGAATATTGATTTGCTTAATGCATGATAATGCCATTCTCAGTCTGGGAAAGCGTGCAAGATCATTTCTGGTTGTTCAATGGATGATGTGTACTTAAAAATCCTGTTTACATTCCATTGCATTTAGCTCACGCTTTATCCAAAACAACTTATAATAAGTGCAATCATGATGACACAAACTTAAAATAGCAAGAATCTTTCAAGTACTTCAGCTTTCAATATACCATTCTTAGTGCTTCTGCATTGGATTCAAATAAGCCAAACCTTTCTAAGTGCTACCTACAGAAGTGTTTTGTTTTCTTTCGATTTAAATTGTATTGGCTAAGGTACAACTCATCACCACAATAGAGAGGGTGGTAAGTGGCACTCCCACTGCTGTGCTACTCCCACATTCAAACAGTCAAGCCTAATTTATCTCACATGTATTCTGACAGTGGACGTCAGCTGCACTGACTCATCTCACAGACCTTCAGTCTGAGGAAGAACTCACAGCAGAACAAATCAAAACATTTCTCCTTGCTTTCTGCTTTCTCTACAAAAGGAAACCGTCCACTAACCCATAGAGCTGAAGCACCCCAACAGACATCACTCATATGCTTTTAACTGCACAGCCAGTATGGATAAGTCTTCTGATCATGTCTACCCCGGTCTCCCACCGAGATCTAGAATGACACCCAGGAAGGAGAGGGAGAGCGGAGCCTCTGTGCCTCCCAGAAGTCACAGACAAAGGCCATCGAAGGCAGGACGGGTCCCGGAGGCGTCTTCGGTGAGAAAAGAGAGACAGAAAAAGGAGAAACAGACAGAGACCAATGAGGTGAAGGTGGAGCAGGAGACAGAAGTGAAGGTGAGTTCCACTGTGGTGGACATAGACAGCGTGAGAGAGGAGGAGGTCAAGGAGGACAACCTGGGGCTCCTGGAGGCAGCAGAGCAGGAGGACGGTAAGTCAAAGCATGAAGAAAAGTTTTTCCCAGCTTGTTGTTCTGGAGATATTTAAGATAGTAATGATACAAATAAATATGTTTAATCTGAGTATCTGGTTGGAATTTCTCCATAATAAGTAGTGTGGATCTTTGCAGGTCTGAAGCGCAAAAACCTGGGAGTGTTTGAGTGGATGCTGATGGTCTTCGTCTTTGCTCTGGTTCTGCTCGTCCTCCCCATTTCCATTTGGTTCTGTGTCAAAGTAGGAACTACACCACACCACAGACCTACAAACAAAACTAACACCTCATAATAATCTACATAAAAAAATGCAAGGATTAACAACTGGGCAGATGCGCCAAATTCATGTGATGGAGAAATGAAAGTGTGATAATGTTATCGTTAAAGTTTAGTCTGAGGATTAATGTTGTTTTAACCTTTTTCACTTTGACAGGAAGTAAAATATTTGGACAAATTAGTTAATATCGGGAATTGCAGAAGTCAGCACCTTCACGTCATATATATTTCTTATTTCTAATCCAAGGTGTTTACTACTCACGCAAAAACAATGTATCTATGTACTGTCACATTCTGGCTGTATGTTATTGTACAAAAGCCTTGCATAAAAGCTGGCCTTATTGACACTTGGACCACTAACAGCTGTGGTATTTGAGCAGAACACTGACTGTCTCCCCTTCATATGGACTGACTCATGTCTGTCATTTTGATTGACAGGTAGTGAGGGAGCATGAGAGAGCTGTGATCTTCAGACTGGGTCACCTCCTGCGAGGAAGACCCAGAGGACCAGGTTCTCACCAACTACTGAGTGTTTAATGCAAAACAGTTGATATTTCTGTGGATTTAATTACTGTGCGTTTTGGATGGCTAGTGATCATAAAGTTAAATAATGTAAAGCTTTGACCCCATACAGTCAGTTCTAAAGTTTTTGTCAAAGTCATAATAAAATGAATTATATTATTCAATATATATATATTTAAAATATAAATCTGTCCTGAGATGAAACCCATCTTACTTATATTTTCAGGCCTTCTTTTCTACCTCCCACTCCTTGATGTGTGTCACAAAGTTGATATCCGACTACAAATGCTCAAGGTTCCTCCTCACACGGTAAATAACCACAAACAAACCAAAACTGCAGCGGCGAACCGTGTCTATCACAACTGGACCTTCTGTAGACACACACACACCCCATTTTATTTACATTTTATTAAATTGCATTAAATTGTATTCATATTATTATTATATAATTTTTGTGTTCCAGGGTATTCTCTGAATACCTTGAAGGCCCTGACGGTTCACCACTGAAAAACTGACATATTCACATTAAGCACAACATTTTAAAATAAAGGAAAATGAATTAAATATGGTAATTAATTATGTGTTTTGTATATTAATGTTGCTTTCCCTGAGCATACAGTACATTTGTCAAAGTCGACAAAGAGATCTAACGTATTTTAAATGGTTGGACATTTTATCATCTAGTAACTTTCTCTAATGCGTCTTCCCAGAAGTTCTATCTTTCTCACAATGTTTCTTAACCTTTTAGGATGATGAGTAAATGACGCGGCCCCCTGCTAAACTAATTAAGCAGACAGTGACAAGGCTTTAATTGGATTAGGCTACTTAATCCTCGTATGTCTTTACCCAGGTGGTGACGAAGGATTTGGTGAGGCCGGAGCTGAGCGCAGTGTGTTATTACCAGATAGAGAACGTGGCTCTGTGCAGCACGGCCCTGTCCAGTCTGACCACAGTGCTGCAGACTCTGGTCCAGGCCGTGGTCAGAGACATCCTCGCCCAACACACGTTCAGCCACATCCTGCTGCACAGGAGGAGGATCGGACAGCAGATACAGGCAGCGGTTGACTCTGTTGCTTGCCTCTGGGGCATCAGGGTGGAGAGAGCAGACATGTAAGACTGAAGATACAAAAGATCATGTATTTCTAATTAACCTTCCTCGGCTGCATCTGTCTCAGCTGGGGAATTCCACTGGAAGAAATGAAAAAATCGCAAAGCACATTACTTCATGTGGAAGCAATGACAGTTGGTCTACATTTGACTGTGGGTAGTGAGGTTTTGCTGCGCCTCCTACACTGGGTGACCATTAATGTTGAACACTTGAATATATGAAAATAGGATGATGACCTGTCAGTCCAAAAGATAGGTGTCTTTGAGCACTTGATAAAGCGCTTGATAAATAAAATATATTATTATTAAAACAGAAAGGTTATCAACTGTAAAAATGTATTGTGTGCAAAGTCTTGTTCCTCTGAAAGCTTTGATTTTTCCTGGTAAACAGCAAGGATGAATGTAGTGATTTGTGGTGTACTGTGATCTTCCTGCTGACCAGGCTTGTGTTTGATTTTCTGTCAGAGACGAGCTCAGTTTTCCTGTGGAGTTACAGCAGAGTCTGGCTGCCGAGGCCGAGGCAAAGAGACAACACCAGGTCAGAGTGAGTAACCACTGTATACCAGCTTTTTTAAGTCATATGTTTATTGTTTTATATTATAACATTTGTTAATGTTAATGGATTTTATGGTTCCCACAAAAAACAAATTATCAAAGTTACCTAATGGTAGTATAAAAGACTTCTTATCTCTGTCCAATACCTTGAAACACATTCAATGCAACATGGTTTCAGTTTTCATCTTAAATCATCTTGTAATGTTTTTTCAGCCCAGAGCTTGGCCTTGGTTTAGCCTTCCAACTGATGTTTACCTCGGCCAGAGAGATCATTCTCAGCAGGATTCGTAAAGCTAACATGTTTCCAACAGCAGTATACTTCCCTCCACCAGGTGAAAGCAGCAGAAGGGGAGAGAGATGCCTGGGAGGGGTTCAGGGCTTCCCTCCGTCTGCTCCAACCTGCCCTGGTCCTTCCAATCCCCCCCGATCTCCTCAGCGTGACCCCTGACCTCTCATCCCTACCCCCACCTCCTCCCCCAGCTGTGGAAGGAGAGGGTGGGGCGACAGATACAGACTCGCCAATGATGTGAAAGATTGTTTTGCCATAAAAGCTATTAATGTTGAAATATCGATGGCAATGCGAGCCAATAATTCTTACCTCATGGATGAGTTTCCAGTGGTATTCTTCATTATTTTAAAGAAGGTAACCTTTACAACAAATTATTGTTTGTTTAAGTACAATTTAAAAATATTAGTTTATAATCAATCAATCCTGAGTGCTTTGAGATTTGATTGGTTTACACTGGTGAGCGTGAGTGCTGAAGGGTGTGATAGCATCTAGTGTGAACTGGGTTTGTTTATTAAATTTCACAATTTCCACATATTTATAATAAAAGCTACAGAAAAGTATTACTTTTTTAGATTGTATGTCTGCAGACACTTTATTCTTTTTAAGAAAACAAAACCTATTTTGCCCTTAGTTGGTGTCAAAGACATAACACAAGGTTTAACACAACCACAGCAAACCATTAGATAAATGGTAATATGACGATATTAATGATCATACAACAGCAAGCAGTCTGAATATAGGACAATCTCCTGATACTTGAAATAGCTTTGATGCTAGTGCTGATGAGTGATGCTTTTTGTCTTTTCTTGTATGTGCAACAATCATTTGTAAACTTGTGAGACAGTAAATGTGCTGTTAATATGCACCAAAAGTCATAATACCCTCTGTGGCTTTCCTTTACTGGTTTACATGGATGTGATTTTGATGGAGTGTTAACTCTTGTAATAAACAAAGAAACATAAAACTCTTTAAGTGATTTTTTAAATAGTTCACTAGACATTTACTGGACATACTGTTGTGACATGTCCTGATCTTATTCAAGTCACCGTTTCTTGGTCTTTTTAACGCTGCTTGATGGTTTGGCTTCAGCTGCAGTTTTCTTTGGAGGAGCTGGGGTTTTTACTGGTATTGGAGTAGGTGGTGGTGTTTTCTTTTTCTCTGCAACACAATCAAAGACCGTTACCACCTTTTGAGATTAAACACTGTGTTACTAAATCTCAGACAGAAAATCCTTCATTTTGATTTACAGAATGTCCAATTACAAGTTAAATGTGTTTGTTTAGTCGGTACCTTCTGTACTTGTTGGCTCCAGACTGGGCCGGCCCTGCAGTTGTCTCTCCAGGTGCTTAGTCTTCTCCAGCGCTGCCTGCAGGGCTTCCTCAGCCTTCAGGGCTCGCTGCTCTGCACTCTGGACCCTCAGCTCTGAATCCCTTACAAACACATGGAGAGAAACATAACCTGGTTGTCTTGCAGACATTCACAAGTCAATAGAGGTCCTTTCTATTTCTGAACAACCACTGAAACCTAGGTGAATAAACTTGTTTCCACAATGCTTAAAGGTGGGGTAGGTAATTTCGGAGAAACCAGCTCAAGTGCGTAGAATTTGAAAATACACAACCGGAGAAAATCTGCCACTTCCTTACAGAGCCCCTCCTCCAACACACACCGCGCACATGACCAATGACGGCACGAGATAAGTTTGTGCACAGATGGAAGGCTGACAGGCAGGTCGGCCATCCAGTTATTTTAGCCGGGCCGGCTAAAATGATTGGTCGTGCTTTTTACAGTACTACGGCTTCCACAGATGACATTTCTTTATGGATTTGTTGTCAAAGCACTTAAGATATTCATTGCTATCGGGATGTTAAGAGCATTCCATGGGATATAACAAAAAGTGTATCTCGAGCCGGTTTCTCAAACTTACCTACCCCACCTTTAAATATTTCAGAACTAAACAGCAAATCGGACATATTTATTCCCTTGTTGTCCTTACGATTGGCTTTTGTCTAATTAACTCCAAGTCTGCAAAATCTCTTTTGACTCATTATGAGAGGCAATACAAAAGCATGTTTGTTAAGCCATGTTGGGAAATGCTGCTCATTCTAATGTCATAGTTTTTCCTTTTAAACAATAAAGAAACATTAAATTCTGTATGACTCAAAAGTCAGCGAGTGTTTAAAACAAAACGTGGACAAATTGTATATTTATTGATATAGTCATTGTCCCTTTTTTGGGGCAGCCATGAAGAAAACATTGACTATGTGGGATATCATAAAAATAGAAATAAACACATTTCCCCTCAAATACATGTGTTCGATTCAACTATAAGAAAGTGAACTTACTGTATTTCCTGCTGCAGTAATCCCACTGTGGTCAGATCACTAAAAGCTTTCTTGGATTCATCTGTTGTTGGAGACACAACCAACTCAGTCTGACAGACAGAGACAGACAGACGGATGTCAGAGAGACACAAATGTAGATTGTTCACTTCTGTAATGAAAAAGGCATTCCACTAACATTGAATACTGTGTGATTAAATTCACTGACCTCATTCAGCTGGACACTGCTCTCTCCCAGCTTTCTTTGTGTAATGTTTCCATCATAGTTTATCAGTTTCACCACTGGGCTCTCACACACCGTTAGCTCCCCCTGCAGGACAACAACAACATTGCTAATTTCTAACAAGTAGGTCCAATACAACTGTACAATAAATGTGAAGTTGTATTTTTTAAATGAGGCACATTAATACAAATTCATACATTCATCGAGAGTTTATTCAATTGTTTTAGACTGTTCTTTCTTCAACAAAACATCCACTTAAAATACTCAAAATGCACCATACATTTATAATTTCCCTGTTCCATACAAACCCTGGGTCCTCTTTCTCTAAATCACATTTTTTTCTTTAAAATGTCACTCATGTGCAGTCTAGCCATCTTAATACTCTTTATGGAAACTATATGAACACCTGACAAACCTCTTGTTGTTCATCCTGTCCTTCAGCAGTGCACTACGGAGACACAAGAATACCCTCACTGCCATCATTATCAACATGACACATCATGATTTTGTAACCTTATATGCTTCACATTATCATAATAAGAAATCACAATATATGGTACACAATAAATAGTGCTCTAAAAATCTAATGATAAATGACTGCCAGTGGTGAACCTACATAATAGTTATTCCACACAATCTCAACAGCTGTTAATGTGACCATTCTGGGTTCTACCTCAGTTTCATCTTCGACCTCTGCTGTAGCCTCTGCTGAAACATCTTGGTTCACCTGCACGCACACACACAACACACACACACACACACACCACACACACACAACACACACACACACACCACACACACAAACACACACACACACACACACACACACACACACACACACACACACACACACACACACACACACACACACACACACACACACACACACACACACACACACACACACACACACACACACACACACACACACACACACACACACACACACACACACACACACACACACCACACACACACACACACACACACACACACACACACACACACACACACACACACACACACACACACACACACACACACGCTTTAAATCCAGTCAAATCTGATAATTGATCAATAGAATCTTTCCTCTGCACCTACTTCACTGCAGTATCAGAATTATTGTCAGTCACCTGACACCATGCTTTCAAGTTATTTCTCCAATAATAAAAAGATGACCTACTCTATACAACAATCAAAAACTGCCACATTAATTTTCAATAATTCATCACAACAACGTAGGTCTATTCCTGTGGGTTGTATTTAACTGACTCCTCACCAGACTCTCGGTGCTGTCAGCTGGAGAGAGCGGGACATTGCTGCTGGAGGCGGGGTCAGCCTGTCGGACCGGAAGCTCCACAGGACCGCCTGTCAATCTTGAGAGCAGGGTTTTGCAGGTCTCCACCCAATCAGTGCACTCCCTCTGAGGCAGACACGACAACACACACACACATTACAGAAGTACATTTTCTCAGTATGGCTCCCTCTTCTGGAGTTTTATAATGTTTGAACACAAAATGTGTAAAAAAAACAAACAGCTGCTGTTCAGTTTTTAATGGAAAAAAGATTGCATTCTTGATTTCTGTAATTTGTCACCCTGAGGCAGTAAATAATTGTGAAATATAAAAACACAAAGTTCTTATATTGCCATTTTTTCTTTCTTTCTGTAACATAACTTATTTTACCTGCAGCTTTCTGCACTCGCTCATCTCATTTTCACCGTCAACTCTATATGGTTTCTGCAGAGTCTGTTCCTCCAGAATCAGCTTGCAGGAGCTAGAGTACCAAAAAAAAGATTTCCTAATGAGAAATCCTGGAGAAAATCCAACATTAATAATACTTTGAATAGCTTTATAGCATTGACCCTTTAGGTAACACTTCTCTGAAGTAAAATTCTGTTTAACACTTGTGCAAGAAGGTAAAGTTTACATTAATACTGAGCACTTATTGTTAATACTTATTGTACCTGCTGATATATGCAGAAGAAACGTCTAGTTTCTCAGCCAGCGTCTTGGCATCCTCTACCAGTGTCTGTAGTGAGATGGTTGTAATGTAATGATTTTCCTGTTCTTGGCTGTGGCCCTCGCTGTGGTCAGGTACCGTGAGGAGCATGAAATCCAACATCCAGCGGGTCTGAGCCATGTGAATAGAATGAACCTATTGGGAGGGGAAACACTAAAACTCAAGAGAAGCACCTTGTATCATACAGCAAACAAACTCATTCATCAAATACCTCTTAATGTAGTCTATCTAGTACTTTTGGCCATCTAAATGAGTAGCTGAGAAACCACATTTTAAGCTTTTGTTGGTTTGGATATTTGCGTGTTTAATATGAGAGTATCATATTCATGGAGCTGATGGAAATGCATGTATGTGATATTGATAGTGTTGACAAAATGTGGTTTATACTGACCTCTTCACTGATTCTGTGGTTCTCAGCCTCAGCGAAGTTGGACACGCTGATTATGAACTCCTTTACTTTGTCTAAAACATTGTCTGTCTCTGTACTGTTTGAAAGAAACAAACACAGGACACGGACACAGACACACACACCACACACACACATAGAAGAAAAGCAAATATCAGAACTCCATATCCAAAATGCTTGAAGTCTTAATTTCTTTCTATCTGCTCTAAAGACATTTGATTAAAAAATGTTTACAGAATACCAAGTTTCTT